TCAAGCTGCCTCTATGGAACATCTGCCAAGAAAATACAACCTCCGCCCAACAAAGCGGTCCTTGCATCTGACAGAGCTACTATGTTCACGGCACGCGACTTGAATTTGTGGAGCGTAGCGCGTGGAACACGTCTGAAACGATGTCAGTGTGACGCAGGGGAACATACTCCGGTAGGGATGCGGTTGACGTTTCCATAACAAGCGGAAGTGTGTCAAGCAAAGCCTCGCCGATAGTTGCGTGGCCGCTGCAACGAAGTACGAGTCTACGGAAAAGGAAAATCTGCGAGTTGCTCGTTCTTCGAAGTGCATTGAGATCATGTTCCCTTTGTGTGGCTTAAGCTGAGAAACTCCCACGAGGCTCAGTTCGTGTTTCTCGTAATTTTGCTCGGCAATAACGCTGTCGTCTGTTAGGATTTGGGGCAATACCTTTTTTACATTTTAACGAATCCTTTATTCCTTAAAGAGGACAAAGGATTCAAGTAGAAAAAGATTTAAAAGAATGTTGCAAATAGAAAATAAAATAAAAGAGAATTACATTATCTTTCAATCCTTTTTCTGAGGACATTACTTAGTGTCGTAATTGTTTGGAAGACGATGAGAAAAGTGATGATGGTCACATTAGAGTATTGGAAAGGGAGAATGAAGAGTTTGAAGGCATTCGTGTTTAGCATGATATACATTTTTTTTTACTTTTCCTTTATAGGGAGAACATTGACTCACATACATAGACAAGAAAAAAAAATATAATGATTTACAGTAGCTTTCATTCACAGAGTGGTCACTTTATTTCCTTACTTTATGTATTCACTAAATTTCGCGTTACACGACACTTTCCTTGAAGGTAAAGTAGACCTTGGCTCTATTTGCACCAACTGAAAGAGGAAAAAAACGTTTGTATTCGACCGGATCGCGCCTATGCCATCCCGACAGACGAAGGTGTTTACAAATACATATTACTCGTGAAATGACGTTAAATAGTGAGCTTTATTTTGTAGAGCGTATTTAGCACATCAATAGATTGAAAAGAGTTCTCGAATGCTCTGCGTGCGCCTGATTACCATACCAATGGAGCGTTTAGGAACAGTCATTGTCGCAATAAGCGCCGCAAAACGTCTTCAAAAACTGGCCCTGTCATGAGGAGCGTCCGTCGTGTGCTGCAGGGGTGCCCAACCGAGCAAAAAACTTGTAACTGCGCATGGTCTCTGGGGCGGAGAAGGAGAGATAATATCGCGGGAACCTGGTGTTAGACCGACGTCAGATAATGGGTAAAAGGAAGCGCGTACGTCCTACCTTCACGTACCTCCTAAGATACGATTTACTGGGAGGTTAGATTTTAATTTAGTAGTAGTTTTGCTAAGACTTACTTTCATTTTGTGCGCTCGGTTGAGAAACCAATGCGAACTTTCTGATAATTTTAAACATCTCTATATATTTCTAATTTCAAATGTGCGCAAAACCTGATAGAAAAGTATGCAGCCTCCGGCCATCTAGGAGGTGTCTGTACTTCTGTTAAATGCGGAAAAAGAACGCTGAGGAAAATCCAAAAACAATTAAATAGTCGCAATTTTGACTGAAAAATTCAAAATTATTGTTTGTTTTCGTGTTGTGCGTATCCATTGAATTCGCATACTGAATGCGTAAATGCTTACGACGCAGGTCTCTTCATGTGGCAATACTATAAACACGGTTTGCGGGAATTTGTTAAGTGTATATTAAAATTGATTATCGACAAGGACATATATGTCTTAAAGAAATAATGAAGGAATAGATGGTTTGGTGTGAAGGTATATTTGGCTGTTTTATGTCATTTACGAAATGAGTGCTGTCAATGCTGATGTGCAAGATCAATAACGCGACCAATACATGTAGTACGTAAGCCTCCATACTTAGGTGTCATTTTCGGTCGAAATAATGTAGATACCATTCCATCAGTTCAGAAAAGTAATAATCTGCAAAGGATTTTTTAGAAGGTATTGTAATTGCAATACATTACTTTTATTACGGGACACAATACGAGATTTTTTAATCAAGAACTTATTACAAATATTAATAGGTTTCATGGGCCCTGACGTGATAGCACCCTTTCCAGCCCACGCCAAAATCGATCTTCTTTTTCGTTCTAAAAGAGGTTTAGGTCAGTCGGTCTGTTCCAGCACCCCCTTATTTCTCTGCATTCGCTGGCGTCTTGTTACATAATAGCATTTTTCTTCTTCTGGAGTTCAAGAACGTTTCCCGACAATTCTTTCGCCGAAAACCGCCACTTACAAATCGTTGCGTCGGATCGTGCATAAAATTCGCGAAACGAACCTCGCCATGAAGCACGCAGTGGTACGAGTAACTTTCCAGGGGTGGGCAAAGGTTGAAAAAAAGCTGCAGCGGCGGCAGCGGCGGCGTGAGGAACCAGCGATGAATAGGCGGCGCTGCGTTGTTGCATTCTCTCACGCGTGACGTAGGCACTTGCATGCAGATTTCCTTAGCGGGCTGGCTCGCTCTCACAGGAATGCTCGGCGGGGCGGCGTCTTTAACGGCCGATGCTGTTGGAGATGTTCCGAGAAACGAGGGATCGCCAAAACGCGCCCCGCGGGGCCATTTAGACGCAGGCGCGCAGCGCCGCGGTGGTCGGAGCTGGGGATTCGTTTGAGTTTTGAAAGAGCTACCGTTGCTATTCAAAGTTGACAGAAAGAGGAGTGGTTCAGGAAGAATAATGGGAGCGGATGCTTCCAGTTCTTAAATTGTTTGGAGGTTGTAGTAAACACTTGAGGGTATTGTATCGCTAGTGTGAAAGGGGATCAATAGTTTGCGTAAAGTGAGGTAGAAAAAAAGGGAGTGTTTGTAATTGCCTACGTATTATGTTGTTATATCTAGTATTGCTCTTGGAATCTTTGTTATTCTATGGATAGTGTTTCGTCCTGATTTCAACGACTCAACGATCAAATCTCATTCGGCGATCAACTAAATGAAAAAGTGTACAATGTCAATCTCTGTATTCTGTAAATGCAAATATTCATCGGCTATAAAGTCAATAAAACTACTTTTTGGCTTCACAGATGTTGGAGCGTCATGGATTGGAAATAGTTTTCTCTTAAGCGTTCATATCCTCTCCAATAATATTTTTTCTGTCGATATCTATTATGTGACCATTAATTGTTTAATTAGCGATTTTTTCAGTTAAGCATTGATAAGTACGAGCACCATTAATTTAATTATAACGTAGCTGATAAGATTTAATCAGTGTCATTATCAATTATGCAACAACGCCGAATATTTTGTACATTGAGAGGTTCTTTAATTACTCGCATGAAGAAAATAATTCAACAATTGTTCCACAATATTTTCCATTTTAATCTTTAATGTGACTCTGCTTTATGTCATACCTGTAACTAGCATTAACAACTCGCTTTATACTTCCTTTATGTATTCAAAATTTGACACACTGCCAGCTAACAAAGTGCGACCCAGTAAACAAACGATGATCACTTGGTAAATGTTTGCTATTTCTTGGTGTTTTCGTTTACATCATTTCATTAGAAAATATTTTAGGCGAAGAGAGTTCTCATAAAAAATGTTTATGTACTTTTTTTATCTTGCAATGTGTAAAGGAGTGTGTTTGTGTATCAGTACTGCATTTTACAATATACAGCTCCTGTTTACTGGTCGTCTGCATCAGGTGCAAAAGTAGTTCATTTCGAGAGAAAACTCAAGGAAAATATTATACAACTAATATTAATTCAGTAAACAATGAAGTGGCTTTGATGCAGATTTCGAAAAGAGAATAGTGAACGTCATTTATTATGCCAGAAGTTAACGCATTTGTTTATAAAAAACTAGTGGAATTTAATTGCTCTCCCACAAAATATTATGCCATGCATTTTGTACTTCGAGGACGTAAAGCATGCATTTTCTTAGAAGGAAGTTGACTTTTGGGTTGACACCATTGTTATTTAGCAAATTCTGCATTTAGTTGCATTATAGTTGGTAAACATAATATCATTATTCTATGTTTGTGGTCTCGACAAGTTACTGGAAATATCTCCTACAGTGAGCTTGCATAGCAGAAAATCCCTTCCGCCTGCATTTTAAACGAGCAAATTACTGTTCTAATACCTATTTTAATGGTTCTCTTGATACAATTGCTGCAAATGTTCAAATTCCTCAGTGCCTTTATTGCCGCAAGACCACTTTGCCGTCGTTTCTTCTTTACTGGAGAATTGCTTTACCGAGTTGTAAGGTAGTAAACGTGCTTACGTCAAGGGCTTTGTGTGGTGCACGAATGTCTAATAGTTTTGTGTATATGATGATGCAAATTTGTTTTCCAGTGGTTGTTATTTGAACTATGTCATAAAACTATCAGCATGTGTACTGTTCTGTTTATTACAATTTTATCCACAATGTAATTTGCCCGATATTCGAATCGTGTTTGCAAAAATTAAGATTACAAAAATGCAAAGTTTCGAAATGCCCACAATAATGACATGAGTCAAATATTTTAAAAGAAGTAATTTAATCTTGTACGAATGCTCGCACACATGCGAGTGTTCGTGATTTTCGAGAGAGTATAATATTCGTATATATATATATAATATATATATAAAAATTATATATATATATATATATTTCCGAGAGAAGTTAATAATATTCGTAATATATATTATATATAATATATATATATATATATATATATATATGAGAGAGACGGGGGAGGGCGAATAATACGTTGTGTTGCCTGAGCAGCCGAAGACATTCACGAATGAGGAAAGAAATTTGCAATAGGACGGGTAAGCGACTGAACTTCACTATATCATTTACCTTACTTTCAATACGTTATCCAGTACAATCACTTAACATTTATTTAATTGATAATGATTAATCGATAAATTAAAATAAAAAAATACGTCATCCCTAACAAAATCTACCTTGACTTGGTTTCGTAAAAAGTTTGTGTTCCGACCCTAGGATCTATCTCTGTGATTGCCCTTCATTTCTCTGTATAGTAGACTGCAATGAGTTCTGCTCTGTTGTGGGGTGCATTGAGTTCTGCTCTGTTGTGGGGTGCAATGAGTTCTGCTCTGTTGTGGGGTGCAATGAGTTCTGCTCTGTTGTGGGGTACAATGAGTTCTGCTCTGTTGTGGGGTGCAATGAGTTCTGCTCTGTTGTGGGGCGCAATGAGTTCTGCTCTGTAGCGCAGAGCAACGCTGCCAGTGTGTGTGTGACCCTTTCCTGACCCAGGCATCTGTGTGTGTCCGCAGGCGACATCCTGAGCGGCGTGTGCAACGTGGGGCTGTGGGACGTGGACGCGCTGCGGGGCTTCGTGCTGGCGCCGCTGTGCGTCTACCTGGTGCTGGGCACAGTGTTCCTGCTAGCCGGCTTCGTCTCGCTGTTCCGCATCCGCACCGTCATGAAGCACGACGGCACCAAGACCGACAAGCTGGAGAAGCTCATGATCCGCATCGGCGTCTTCTCCGTGCTGTACACGGTGCCGGCGCTCATCGTGATCGCGTGCCTTTTCTACGAGCAGGCCTACTTCGACAGCTGGATGCTGACGTGGAACCACATCATGTGCCAGCTGCCCTACTCCATCCCGTGCCCGGCGCGCACGCGCGAGCTGGGCCGCAAGCCCGACTTCGAGGTGTTCATGATCAAGTACCTTATGTGCCTCATCGTGGGCATCACCTCCAGCTTCTGGATCTGGTCCGGCAAGACCTTCACCAGCTGGAAGGAGTTCCTCTATCGGCTCCAGGGCCGCAGGGACGAGGCCTACGTATGAAGTGCCCGACGCGACTCGCGCGTCCTAATGGCGACGCTTTTTGCTTTTGTTTTGTTCTTACGTGCACGAACTCCCGTGGCGACGAGTGGTCCTGGAGGAGTGAGATTCTATTTTTATTTTTATTATTTTTTTTTTCGATGCGGTTTTCTTTCGGAAGGAAATAAAAATTAGCGGAAGTGACTTTTGCTCCAATGTGGAGCGAAATGTTTGATGTATTGTGCCACTAATACTACGTTTATAAGTGTGCTTAAGTTACTTTTCCTGTTATTCTTTGGGCTTACACGTATTTGTAGGACTGATGTTATATCTATTCACAAATCTTATTCGACGTTTCCGCTGTTGCATCGCGTTTTCGGAGGGCTCATGTCAATTAATGGCCTGATATAAATGCTCTCTCTATTATCGAAAATGGATATTATTTTATGTTTCAATGTTCTTCATTGACCTCTGTATTTCTCTTTTTCTCGTTGTATACTTGATACAGTCTAGCCATTGACGTGTTGCCGCCTAACTATGGAATTGAATGTATGTATGTATATATGTATGTATATTTAACCAATTTATTATTTTCATTAAAAATAGAGAATGGATGCCAAAATGTCAATAGAAAATGTAATACTAAGTAGGCCTATTGGGAATGCCTTTGTTAGCATGATATGTACCTTATTTTGTAGTTTTGAGAGACCAGACTGGCATTTGATATACAGAATTTTGTGGATTGAAATATTCAGGGAGAATAATTTTCGAATAATTTTTGTCAAAATCATGGCAGTTTGTCAAAAGTTTGTGTCATTGGGAAGGAAATAATTCCACATATCACTACAGTCGCTCAATCATTATGCATCATTAACATCAATTATACATACATGTGCAAATTGTTGGTAAACAAAATATAATTTGATCAAAGTCAAGTTGAGTCAACCATTTATTTGCCCAATTATCTTGAAATAGTTGAAATTTTAGCCACTGCCAAAAAATTGGTGGCAAAATATCTCATCCATCACACTAAATATTAGGATTCAGATTTGTAATGTTCTAAATTGGCAACTCAAGAAACCTGAAATTAAAATAACCTGTGATTGAGTAGTAAAACAGACAAATGCATGATTATATGCCAAATTTATTACCTGAACTCACATTTGGCCTATAATATTGTTTTTTGGAGTATCTTAGAAAGAGATTCCTAGTGACTTATTAAGTGACTTGAACCAAGATAAATTGCCTTAATACACCTCGAACGTCCACATAAATAGTAGAATCCAAACATAAATTTGAAGAAATACTTCTCTGTGGCTGTCTGTGAATACCATTAAGCATACCTCATTTGTGGTAAGAAATGTGTAAATAAATGTATTTAGAAGAAACAGCATGTAGATTCAATGCCTGCACAACAAATGTAACATTTTATACATAATGCAATGTGTTTAGTTTTCAGTTTGAATTAGTTTATACTTCATAATATCTGCCCTTTTGATGTAACTTCAAAGAATAATAAATTATTTACGTGCAACTTGGCCTCAAAAATTAATTTAAATACATTGTGGTGTAATGTTCATTAATTGAGGAGGCATTTGTTTGCAAAATGCTACTGCTTTGACACCTGTATATATGTGAAGAAAAATAAATTAAAGAAGGTTAAGTCATTGTATTTTTTAAATGTGTACAAATAATTATGCTAATAAAACTATGTCAAAGAAGGCTTAATTTGAAGCAGTACAAACATTTGCAAAAATGCAGAATCTTTTGGCTGATTCCAAATTACACCATTTACTTTTGGTATCCTCCATCTAGTCGTATGCAACAGGCAGATTGTTTACAGAAATGTATCAATTTAAAAATGGATTGACATAACAGATTGGCAAAAGTGGTGAAACGAAATTCATAATTTCACTGCCAAGGAGATTTGAGTTCTGAATGATTAGAGGCACAATATGAACTCGCTTAGTCATTGCAAAGGAACTAAAATTGCCTAACAGATTTCAATACTGTTGTTATATTGTATACTGTGTATGCTATGTTCTTTTGACATGTTTGATGAAATTTCAAAAGTTTATGTAACTAGAGTACGATTTAATATGTAATTAAATGTATATGTTTTTTCAATTTTACATTTGTTTCCAATTTTTGATGTGTACATTATTTTCATCTTGTACTGTGTAAATATATTTAGTGCAGGAGGAATAAAACTGACCACATTGAAATGCATTTGAAATTATTTGATTTCCCTTCTGTCTCTATTTTTAGAATGTGCCAATAAAACTTGCACCAGATGTGGAATTATTGATTTTTACTGAACGTTACAAGTTGCAAATGTTTTAATTCTCAGCTACAAAATTGTGTCAAAGGTGACACGAAGTGTCATGAACAATGAAACAGAACGTTGAAGTCACGCGGTCATTCACCTCTTGAGATGAACGTGAACGTAGAGATAAACACCCCTAATGAATTAAAAACAAGTGCTAAGAGCACGAGATGTTCTAAGAACATTCAATTCACTCTAGAATACAAAAATTGGAATTTAATTTTCTCCCCGGAATCGTAACTTCTCAAGAACGTATCCATAAAATTGTGAATAGCAGACACTTTTCCATGGAGTCCCATTACCTCGACCACTTTGTTTTCATGAACTGAAAATATAAATTATGGAAAACTATGGTTGTTTCTTGTTAGGAAAACGTAAAAAATAAGAAGACAAACGTGGGCATTTCACAGTTTTCAATAAAAAAGAAAAACTGAACAATTACACACTTGTAATTATAAGATCTCTATTTTTTCGGCAGTTGCTAATTTTGGTCCTTTAACCCAAACGCTCGACACAAATTAATTATGAAAGCACTTCATAACTCTGATAAGAATGAACCACATTTATTTGCTCCAAAATGCCTATGTTTCCTTCAATGATGACGTCTTGATTTTTTGTTTTCTTAGATTTCTTAAAGTGCGACATTGGTGAGTTGATGCAGATAGTAAGTTTTCTGCGTATAAAGTGATTATGATTGAGATGGTCTTAGCAGTTTCATTGTTTGCTTCTTTTAATAAAATTACATATATTATTTTAATAAAAGAGTTTGTAAGACAAAATTTATGTTATTACTTTTTTGTCTGTTTTTTGAGAGCTATACAACATATTTTCGCCTTTTACTCGTAAAACAATTTTAGACTCATTTAAGTATGCGAATTTATTAATGACATTTACAGAAACAAGAGATATAATTTTTTTAATTGTTTGAAAAATAATGCGCTTTTCTCTGCGAGTGTGAAACGCACAACTTCTAGAATTAATTTCAATAATCACACGTCATTTAAAATATCCATTACATTCTTGTCGGTTCCTTTTGTATAAACGCTTCAATCGATAATGGACCAAATCTGAGTAGTAGTGGCATCAAAGACCAATAGACCTTACAGTTTCGAAAGCGAACGAGGAGGCAGTGCACTTTTTAAACAATATGTCTATGATTGAATCTCCAGAGATCTTACTGATATCTGGTGCATTATGCAGTTTACAGGCTGCTGATGTTTGCTCGAAGGCTAGGATTATTTCCAGGCCTCATTCTTCCAGAACCTCAGCAGAAACAAAGAACTCCATGCCCTTCTCTCCCTCCGCACACACCAAGCCGCTTGAAGCTCATCAGGGACTACATTTATTACGACACGGGGTTTTCTTGTTTTTTGGTTTCAACCTGCTTCAAGACATTCAGCCTTCTCGAAGAATTTTGTGCAGTTTTTCGATGAAGTTGTTCTTGCTTTTTATAGTGTGTGGTTCACAGTAATGCGGGCACGTTATTTGGTGATAAAACTTCTGGGGAAATATATGGTGCTTCTGTATCCAATGTTGTTAACTCGACACGTCACAGAGTTTTCTCGTAATCCGTTTGAGGTGACTTCCTAATGGTGCAAAGCAGTCGAAGACGTCTGTGAGAATAGTTTCGAAATCAGTAAAAAATGTATTATTTGAGTGTAATAATATCCTAACGAGATACATTTTGTTCTATGGGTGCAATAAAATATCTTATATCGTGTCTAATACATTTGGTTATGATGTAAATGTTAAATACAAAATGTTATTTACATCATGCGTCGGACCGTGCCTACAGACGAAGCCAGCGCAAACGCCAAAGAATGTCTTTTGAGCCCGAACGCGGCGTAGATCTTGGACGACTCGTAACAAGGGACCAGCACGGTGGGGGAGGAAGCAGAGGGCGGCCCGGCCGCAGCCTCCGCTGAGACTGCTCCTCTGAGCGTGCAGGTATCCTGCCCGGCCCCCGATCCCTGCGGCACGCCCGCACTGCGCCCAAACGGTCTGAAAGACGCGCCAAAGTGACTCATTTAGTAAGTTTGTCGTCACAGCAGTTCCGCGTTGTGCGAACGTTGAAGCAGGTAGCTTCGGATACATTTTTATTATCAGCGCGAGGCAGGCTCATCAAGAGAGGCTTGCACGTGGATGGCTTGCATGCTTTCACTGGCAAGCCAGACTTTCCGATTCTGCGTCGCGCCGGTTGTAAATATGTCGCAATTCATTATGCGATCCATAATACCGGTAGGAACCGCGATAGTTTTCCTAGCGGTTCGTCAAGTTTGACTTGTCTGTGAATGGGTCGCTTAAATCTGGGCACTCACGGGCAAGCCTCGCTTGATGAGAGTACCTCGCCCGGGTTGCGTTGCTTACTGCTTCATTGTTCGCACAACGGAGAACTGCGCTGATGACTGATTTACACTCGGCACCAGACTAGCTCGGGATTTGCGCCATGTTCATCCACAAAGCTCTTTACAATAAGAACACCAACCACAACAAATGCAGCATCAGACTTGAATGATCGGCCGAGAACGCAGAAGTCGACTTGTAATTCATGTGATTTTGCATTTTTATTGAGGCTTGGCTAGTCACTACTCTAAGAAAGGTGATTCTTCCCCCTGCGCTCACCAATGAGCATGTAACAAAAACAATAATTGCATCATTAACAACATTGAGTTATAATTTCAGTAAGAAAACATCAATAATTTACAAAGAAAATGTCAATAATAAGGGATAAAATTCCTTATCTCAAAATATGGAGAAGGAGGCAGTGCATGAAAGATCGCAATGAAGAGGAGACCGGTAAAAAAAATGTTCACTGAAAACTTTCTGTACTTGTCTCAGGCTTCTGTAGTCAGAACTATACGAACGGTCTCGGGTGTCCTGATGACGTCGAGTGGTAAACTTGGCCATCTTACACTCATCATTTCGTAGCCATCTTTGTGTCTGAAAAGATAAGTATATTGTGCTGAAAGTCACGATATGGACAACACGTAGACCACGATGACTACATATTGTTACATGTGAGTGCGATCGCCAGAGGACATTTGGATTAATGTTTCCAGTCTCGTCACCTGCTATGGTCATTAGTCCCGTTAGTGTAGTGTATGTTTTGTGGAGGTGATAGCGATCTTCGCTGGATGGTAAGATCCGGTGTCGACCTAGTTCACTCAGCTAGTGAGATTTCCTTTCCATGTATCTTCCGCCAGCCAGGATTATTAAAACCATTTCCTAATCTCTCGACTGGTCTTCCAACGTCTGTGATAGTGTATTGTGTGTAAGGGGTGAGGAGAGGACAAAAAGGGTAGGAATTATGGCTCGCGGTGCGTGTCCTGTTTGTTATAGTACTGTTTCAGCATTTGCCTGGCATTACACGAAGAAATCACATAACAATACACCGAGCAGCCAGCGCTAGAATCCCTCTCCCAATAACGACTGTATTGGATTTAGCTACATAGCTATAATCCAAAATCTGCCTCTGTCGGTTCTGCAACCAAGGACATCCCGGTCAGAGTCAACGCTGGCGCTGAGCTAAACTGAGGCAGGCTGGTCATTCGGACCACTGTGCACCGCCTCCCTAACAAGCCCCCTCTGCGGCGCCCTCTCCACCCGCGGCACCCTACACGTGGCGTGAGGCGGCGGCGGCGGCGGCGGCGGCTGTGGCGCGCGGCGCGGTGTACAGTCTGGGAACGGCTACATGCAGAGGCGGGCGTGGGAGCTGCGTAGGCGCCTTGTGGTCGCTCGGCTGCGCTACCGCCAACGCGGAAACACGCCTCGGCGCTGCCCGCGTTTTTCACACTCTTTGGCAGTGATGGATTACAGCGTGCCAAAAAAGGGATCTGTCTGCGACGAGGAATTATTTGAACAATTCTTCGGTTGCTGTGAACCTGGGTGGAAAGTGTCAACCACAAGACTGTTCCCATTCCCTCGACAAACAGTAAATAAATATCTTTGGCAAAAGCATATTTGTTCACATGCAGAAGATGAATGTTTTGTTTACCATATACCACAAATAATCGAATTCAAACCAGCACATCTTTTTTCCAGGCGAAAACAATTATACCTGCTCCGTGGAAAATTTCAAAATTGGACAATAATGTTTCGTAATTTAAATAATCATTATAGAATGTTTTATTTGTTTGGTGATAAATTGACTTGAAAAAACGTGATATGAGAATATGAACAAGTGAATTATTTTTATTTAACAGACCACAGATAGTGTAGTAGGCAAAATCGTTATATATTTATTTACAATAAAGTATGGAATATAAAGCCGAGTGTATTGCAAAATAGATAAAGAGAAAATGATTAAGTTTCAGATAATGACTGATAATGTTTCACCGCTCATTTATTTCTTTAAGTGTTTTGCTTCGTTTGAAAACCATAAAGAACATTGAATAAATCGAGTTATCCGATACATATTTTAACAAAATCAGTTTATTTTGGAATTCAAATGAGTGGAATTTAAGTTTTCCTTGCGTCTCTTTCCCGCAAATCTTAAATAAATCCTATCAAGAACTGTACCCATTGATTCTCGGACCCTGTGCGTTCACCATACACCCCCCAGATCGGCTCCATAATTTCCCTGCGGATTCACATGACGGCGCTCCCCCGTACATCGGCGAGACCGAACCGTCATCTGTCGGGGATCCCTGCCCATCAGCCGCGACTGTACGGCGAACGCGGCGCGGCGATGCACAAAAACGGCCCCGGAAGGCGGCCCAGGTGGAGAAAAATTAATTTTAATTAAACAAAAAGCCGCTGCCGCTGCTGCTGCTACGTGTGACGTCGCGGCGACCGCG